TGCTGAAGACCGGACCCAGAAAGCTGGAGATGTTATCACGAAGACATTAAATAAAGAGTTTAGTAATGGACACTAGTCTGCTTTGCAGAAACCATTTGGGATCCACCTGTTAAGCCAAGGCCAATGTTACGACTAATATGTTAGTAAAAGACAAAAAGGACTAATCATTTTTTTGAATGTCTTATGGTGGTATGGGTACTTAGGAACAATCCCGTGTCACAGCACCTGGCTCCAGGCTCTCCTGCCCGCCCGCCTCTTCCAGCCGGGATGCGGGATGCGGATCCGCCTGCCTGGGCTTCCCTCGCAGCAGCCGTGCAGGCAGAGGGTGGCTCCAGGCAGTCTTCCTTAGGCCCTGCTTGGGGAACTCCTGTTACCACCCAAGCAGTCCCTAAATACTGACCCTCCTTTGGCCAAGCTCCTTCTGAACCACGTGCTGCTCCCGAGGTGCCGCACGTACCCATCCCTTTCCCCGGGGCGCTTTGCGAACCGTCCCGCTGCCTCAAGCAAAGGCTCCGCGGGCTCTTCTGCGCGACCCTGCCTTCAGCACCAGCTAAGCCATGGCCTAGGGGCACCATTAGGCATAGAGGAGACCTGGACACAGCTGCCAGGAGGCAAAGCCAGCGCGTGCGCAGGCGGCCCGGCGCAGCTCTGAGCGCATGCGGATCCACCCGCTGCAAGAGGCGCTGCGGCTCACCGCACGACGCCCGCCCTCCGGCCAAGCCTCATCCGCACGAGTGTTCCCGAGGGAGGTGCTTCCCTCCCGGCACAACCCGCCTTTATCTCCAGCGCCAGCAGCCAGTGCAGCCCACTGCTCTACCTAGGCTGACATCCTGCTGTAAAGCAGACAAATTGCACTTCCTGGCAATGATTTTTCAGGGAGATGAGGATCTTTTCACGTTCAGCTCCCTTTTGTCGTCACCCTAAACTGATTCTGCAAAGCAATGCCAGCTTCGAATACCAATCGCTTTGTTGCTCACACTTACCCCGAGCAATGGGCTACAGAAAAGGAGCCACTTGACTTGGCAGGGAAAGAAAACATTTTTTTCAGCGTGCAGCTCCTACAGAAATGAGTCAGTAGGCCTGACGGAACAGAAAACACAAGTTGCCATAGAAACTTGCATGCCTTACACGACGAGGAGGAAAAATGTAGGCCAATATTTCTGCTTAGCTGGCTCTCGCTCTGGGTTCAGTACTCAGCTTGCCTGGATCCCAGCGCTGTGTTAGCAGCTGTATTTATGTATTTTTTCTGCGGCTGAGGACGGCCCTTGCCCAGGTGCTCTGGTGTGCGCACACGAACACGCACATGTGGCTGCCCTGAGCCAGTGCCAAGGAGCCGCCGGGTCATGGCGAGCCGGGCTCTGTGGCTGCCTCATGGCACCCTCGAGGAGCCGCCGAGTCACGGTGAGCCGGGCTCCGCGGCTGCTTCAAGGTGCCGGGTCACAGCGAGCCGGGCTCCGCGGCTGCTTCAAGGTGCCGGGTCACAGCGAGCCGGGCTCCGCGGCTGCTTCAAGGTGCCGGGTCACAGCGAGCCGGGCTCCGCGGCTGCTTCAAGGTGCCGGGTCACAGCGAGCCGGGCTCCGCGGCTGCTTCAAGGTGCCGGGTCACAGCGAGCCGGGCTCCGCGGCTGCTTCAAGGTGCCGGGTCACAGCGAGCCGGGCTCCGCGGCTGCTTCAAGGTGCCGGGTCACAGCGAGCCGGGCTCCGCGGCTGCTTCAAGGTGCCGGGTCACAGCGAGCCGGGCTCCGCGGCTGCTTCAAGGTGCCGGGTCACAGCGAGCCGGGCTCCGCGGCTGCTTCAAGGTGCCGGGTCACAGCGAGCCGGGCTCCGCGGCTGCTTCAAGGTGCCGGGTCACAGCGAGCCGGGCTCCGCGGCTGCTTCAAGGTGCCGGGTCACAGCGAGCCGGGCTCCGCGGCTGCTTCAAGGTGCCGGGTCACAGCGAGCCGGGCTCCGCGGCTGCTTCAAGGTGCCGGGTCACAGCGAGCCGGGCTCCGCGGCTGCCTCACGGTGCCGGGTCCCGGCGAGCCGGGCTCCTCGCTCAGCAGGGCAGCAGCAGCGCACGGGGCCGGGGAGGGCGGCGCGGGCGCCCCGGTGCTCTGCCACCTCCTGCCTCCCCACACCAGCGCGGCGGGCAGGCCAAGGCAGAGCACAGACTGAAGGCGAAGCCCTTACTCGGGATTATCGCAGCCGCCTCTGATTTAAGATGAACCGCTTTTCTCTGTGCTGTAGTTTCCTGGTCTGTAAGACATGGGCGAGCCCCCAGCAGGATGGGAGTCGCGTGGTTTGGTAATGTATGTAAAGCCGCTGGATATGCTCGGAGGGAAGGGGTTACATAAAGCGCATGAATACAGATGTATGACCCGATCTTTTATGCCTTGCTAATCCACATGTTTTCCATCTAAGTAACTCCAGTAGGTAACAGCAGAACTAATAATTACAAACCCTGATGGATCTGACCTGTAATTCTGACAGCTAAAGAACTGGTGGCTGGATGAAAGGGAATATGTGTCCGCTTGTGCTGTGATCACTTAGAAAAAAACATCCTTTGGAAAGTACCACAGTTTGACAGAAATGATCACTCCTGAATTATCCTTCCATTTCTTTTGTTCCCTGAATGTGTGCTTTGTTACTTTCCATTTCAGATTGGGCACGCAGGGCAAACGCTTTTTCTTACAGCTGAGTAGATGACAAATGGCCTACTAGATATTCAGTGAGCTGCTCCGCTCTACCTGAACTACAAATAAGAACGATCCATCGGGGAGGAAAGCCCACCTTCCCCCTATTTTTACATGTATTCAGTCACGACTCCCTCATAAAAAGAAAGAAGCAAACAGAAGAAATATCTGAAATTTTGCATGGACCTGGCAATGGCCAGGGCAGCGTGGACAGATGAGCTTCACCTGCCCCTTGGCCCAGGGGCTCCGCGAGGGACCGGAGCCATCAGCCACCCCTCGAACTTCACGCCGTAGTTCCCCGCCTGGATCGTCCTGCTTAAACACAGACACTTGGGAGAACGGGAGCAGAACGATGGAGGAAGCGTGTTTGTCCATAGCACGCATTGCCCAGGCACCAAAAACACAGCAAGGATATTTGTTAAACGCAGGAGTCTCGGAATACGCGTCACCAGGTGCGTAATGTTAAGACCAGCACGTTTCTCAGGAACGGACTCGGGAGGGCGACGGCCGGAGGCAGGTGGCCGATGGTAACACCTTCCTTCTACAGGGGGTTTTGCTCCGGGCGAGGAGGACGGCAGCTTAACGTGCAGGTGATCTATGTCATCTGAGCTGTGATGTGACCCTAGGTTTAATATGATTTTCAAATCCCTCCGGGTGAAGGCATTTTAATGCAGTAATCTCCTGATTGTGAATGAAGAAATATCCACAAAAAAAAAAAAAAAAAAAAAAAAGAATTCCTGCTACACATTACTCAAAGATACTCTTGCAGATAACGTTTTCTTCTTGCTCTAAGGTAATGAGTGAAAGGAGAATAAAGGATACTGGAACTGGCTCCTCGCAGAGCTCTGAACCTGGTTCCTGCAGCTGCCCGTGTGCCCCTGGCAAGTCCCTTGCTGCCCTCCTTCCCCTGACACCTTTGGGTTTTTGTTTATTTTATCCTGTCTCGACTGCTTGTTCTCCATGTCAAGGTCTTTCTATTGCCATGTATTTAGATGATATCCAGAATAATGCTTCCCCTGCTCATTTTAATAGTTCATATAATATGAGCAGTTAATAATCACTGTTTTGATAGATATTTGCTTTGGGAGCAGAAGAATCAGTAAAATGTATTTTAGAGATAAAAATCCACTCTATAGGCTTAACAGAAATAGAACAAAATTCAAGAGAAACTTTACAACATTTCCATGGGGGAAGTGAGAGGCTAATTCTGTGTCTGCCACTCTGCTTGATTTAATATGTGGGACACTTCCCTCTGGGAAGGAGTAAGTAAATTAATGTAGAGTTGAAGAATAAAAGTCCTAAAGCTGCTACAAGACGACCCTGAGAACATGCTGAGTTGAGTATATCCTTATTTGCTATGCTGAAGCAGATTTTGATTATTTCATTGGTACCAAAGGTGAAAAATAACTGCTAAAGATGTTAGCACTTAGCGCAGACCAATGTAAAGGAATTCTGTATACAGAAGGTCTCTGTTCACTTGCATGGTGGCTAACACTGCCCCCAAAAGCCTTCAGCTGGATGAGGGCCCAGGGGTACTGGGCTCTGCTCAGACATGAAGGCAAATCTTTGCCAAGTTCGAATTTACAGTGTGAACAGAGCAGGCGAAGGAAGCGTTCACCACGGAGCCTGTATTTCACTGACTCCCGCGGGGCCACGCAGAGACCGGAGCTGATGCAGGCAGCGAACCCCCATCCCCGGGCCGCGCGTTCTCGCCTGCAACGCGAGGCTGCAACGCGTCGCGCTGCGAGCCCAAGTGCCTGGCTGGCTGCCTTCCATGAGCTGAATATTAATACCAGTGTCTTTATAACACAAAGAATTAAAACAGAATGTTTATAAGGTTGGAAGGCATGCTGTGCTAGTGATTTTAACTGTTTTTAATAACCTTATATCAACATTTTTCTTCCAGCTTCTCCAGGTCTGAAAGCTCAATTAATTCTGAACTACCACCCTGTCTATCGTTTCAACCACACGTGGCCCAGCGAGAATTCAAGCGAGACAATGGTTAATTTTTGGTATCTTCTGCTGTCTAATGGCAGGTGTGCTGTCCTAAATAATTAGCTTTCAAAAAAGGATCCCTTTAACCCTTCCCTAAAACTGGTTACTGATCTCGGTTTCACTTCATTAGGCTCTTGACAGCTCAATGTACTCACATCTGTTACTGTTTGGTAGTTTGATTCCAAGAACACAAATCGCTTCAAGAATTGGCAACAAATTCATTCAGGTTCGTGATGCAAATCAAAACCCATCTGTTTACTACTCAAAACCCATATTTTAATCACAGTATAATAGTGGTGTCAGCAATGTCATAACTTAGCTGTATCTCTGACCCAAACATGATAGGTGATTCTCTTCATTTAAGCAGCATTATTTGAACTGGGTTTTTAAAATGCAAGTACTCTGACATTCAGGCACTCGCACACAGGAGTTAACCAATCTGCTTATACTGGATGATGTTTTAACTGTAAGAATAATAGCGAACAATTTAAGAACTCAAAAAGGGTTAGGCTACTTAACCAGGTGGTCTGATCCAGCAAGTGGATTCTGACAGGTATGATCTGGGGAGAAAATGATTCATTCATGTTCGAAATGGGCAAGACATTTTTGCTGTACAGGCATCCCTGACATGCAGTCTCAGTGGACCCCACAGATAGTCTCACAGGTTCTCGGTACGTATGGATGACTGCCGACACGAGACACGGCAGCGCGCTCTGCGGGAGAACACTCAGCGCTGCCGGCAACCGGGCGGGCAAAGCGCGCGACTCGCGACGCCGCAACGTCAGCGGTGACACAGGCTGCGGCTCCGTCTTGGCAACAGTGCACTGGGTCCACAGCACATTCAGCAAGAGCCTGTGAAAAGAACGTCCCGCTGAGAGGGAGCGCTTCACCCCAGCGGGCAGCACGCGGGGAGGACCCGCGCCCACGGAGCACTGACTGCAGGGGCAGCACTGGCAGGGCTGGCAGCTCTGCGCTCTTCTCACACGCAATGGGGAAGAGATTGCGGATGGACCGCTCAATATTTCAGTTCTCTTCGGGATGAGAGATGGATGGAAGTAGA